CAGGCAGACATCAGGCAGACATCAGGCATCAGGCAGACATCAGGCAGGCAGCAGGCAGGCAGCAGACAGGCAGCAGGCAGGCATCGGCATCAGGCAGACAGGCAGACAGGCAGACAGGCAGACAGGCAGACAGGCAGACAGGCAGGCATCAGGCAGACAGGCAGACAGGCAGACAGGCACTCATCAGGTTGACAGGTAGGCAGGCATCAGGCAGCCATGCCTCAGGCAGACAGGAAGGCAGGGAGGCATCAGGCAGGCATCAGGCAGGCATAGTGCTTGAGAAGTAGCTGAGAGCTCGTATCTTGAGACACAACTATGAGGCAGCGAGAAATACCCGGGATGGCCTGAGTCTTTTGAAATCTCACAGTTGTCTCCTTTGGCATACCTCCCCAAACAAGACCATGTCTCCTAATCCTAATCTTTCCCAAGCAGTTTCACCAAGTGGAGAAGTAAGCATTCAAATGTGTGAGCCTATGAGGGCCATTGGATTCCAAACCACCACACATTGATAAACAGTGAAAACTTAGTGGTTTGTGTGTGTGTGTGTGTGTGTGTGTGTGTGTGTGTGTGTGTGTGTGTTTTTCGAGACAGGGTTTCTCTGTATAGCCCTGGTTGTCCTGGAACTCACTCTGTAGACCAGGCTGGCCTCGAACTCAGAAATCCGCCTGCCTCTGCCTCCCAAGTGCTGGGATTAAAGGTGTGCGCCACCACCGCCAGGCTGAAAACTTAGTGTTTACGCTCCTAACGTTTTCTGATAAGTGAATCAGGCCAACAAAAGGCTTGAATTCTCAAAGGGAGCTACCTCTCTATGTGTTTATCGCTACAGCTAGCTTAGTTTCTTAATATTTGTAATATATTGTCTCCCTGGAGCTTTCTAAATATTGTCTACAAAGAAATAGGAGTGGTGTTATTGGTTCACTTGTGAAATCAAGTTCCTTTTAACATAGAGCAAGGCTGGGCTGGAGAGATGGCTCCTAATTAAAAGTGCTGGCACCTTCACGGTGGCTCACAACCATCCAGAACTTCAGTCCCAGCAGATATTACACTCTTTTCTGGTCTTTGTAGATACCAGTCACATGATATATGACATATATGCAGGCTTACATCCACATGCATAAAATAATAACATTTTATTACATGTATTTTATGTATGTAAATGTTGTGTTTTCGTGTATGTCAGTGAACCTCATGGATGCCTCAGAAGTCAAAAAAGGATGTCAGGTCCCCTGGAACTGTAGTTATAGAGAGTTGTGAGCTGACACGTGGGTACTGGCAATTAAACCCAGGTCCTCTGCAAGAGCAACAAATGCCATCCCTCTAGGCCATTATTATTATTATTATTATTATTATTATTATTATTGTAAAGCAGATTATACACCACAACCAAGTAAGAATAGTTCCATAAACTCAACATTAGTTTCAAAATAGGAAATTTAGCCAGGTTTGGTGGCCTAAGTCTTTAATCCCAGCACTTCCAAGGCAGCAGCAGGTGGATCTTTATGAGTATGAGAAAAACTTTATCTACATAGGGGTTTCAGGCAGCCTAGAGCTACATATGATACCCTGTCTCAAAAACAAACAAACAAACATTGGCAATTAATTAAAGTCTAAAACCTTTGAGATCATTTCATTATTTTTAGGAAAGGCATTTTTACAAAGTCCAACTTTCATTCTTGATATAAATTCTCAGAAACTTAAGAGTAGAAGGAAATTGCTTTGAATGACTGAAGTATAACAAATGCCATAACAAACATCATATTCTGAGGTAAGACAGATTTACACTAAGACTGAAAACAGGGTGCCCACTTTTATTGCTCCTGTTGAACATTATAGTGGAGGAAGATTTTTTTTTTCAAGATGGGATTTCTCTATGTAGCTTTGGCTATCTTGGAACATGCTCTGTAGACCAGGCTAACCTTCAACTCAGAGAACTGATCGCCTCTGCCTCCAGAATGCTGGGATTAAAGGTGTGTGTTACCATGCCTGGGACAGTGGAGATTCTAACCAGTGAACCCAAAGGGGAAAAAAGTATCAAAATGACAGACTGGAAAGCAAGCAGTCCTATCTTTATTTGCAGTTGAAAAATCATGCTTCTAAGAAGTCATAAAAACAAATCTACAAAAGGAGTAGCTGGAAAGATAGCTCAGCTCAACAAAGTCTGCCTCACCAAAGTCAACTATACTTCCACACATTGACAGTGAAGTACCCAAAACTGAAATCCCAAAGATAAGTATCATAGGAAAGAATAAAATATTTAGGGATGTATTTCACAAAAAAGAATTGTAAGACCTATACAGTGAAAACTACAAAGATTCTCAGGAAGGCAGTTGAGATAACTTGGTAGGTAAAATTGCATGCTCACTAACCTGAGGACCTGAATTTGTTTGTTTGTTTGTTTGAGTGTTTCTTTTTTGTTTTTGTTTTGTTTTTTTGTTTTTTTGTTTTGTTTTTTTGTTTTTGTTTTTCGAGACAAGGTTTCTGTGTAGTCCTGGCTGTCCTGGAACTCTGTAGACCAGGCTGGCCTTGAACTCAGAAATCTGCCTGCCTCTGCCTCCCAAGTGCTGGGATTAAAGGCTTGCCACTGCCCAGTTGAGGACCTGAATTTGGTCCCTATAATCCACATAAAAGCCCAAGGAGGTGCTTTACCTCTGCAATCCTGGCACCCTACAGTGAGCTGGAGGCAAAGACAGGAGAATTAGCTGGAGGTTCTTGTATGAGTCCCTGCCTCAAAAACAAGATGGAGGTAGAGAACCAACTCCCAATAAAGAAATAAATCTTCTTTTAAAAGTTATTGGGCTGGGCGATAGTGGCACACACCTTTAATCCAAGGACTTGGTAGGCAGAGGCAGGTGGATCTCTGTGAGTTTGTGGCCAGCCTGATCTACAAAGGGAATACCAGGACAGCCAGGGCTACACAGAGAAATCCTGTCTCTGTCAAAACAAAACGTTATCAGGGATTACTTTTTAAAGCAGGATCCTCGGCTCGGGGAGTGCTACCATCCACATTTAACATAACACCTTCTCCCCCACCCCCCCCCTTCCTGGCCTTGATGGAACACACCTTTAAAACCCTCACTCCCTCACTCAGGAAGCAAAGGCTAGTGGCTTTCTGTGAGTTCGAGTCCAGCCTGGTCTACATGATTAGTTCCAGTCCAGTCAGGGTTACATAGTGAGATCCTGTCTCAACAAACAAACAAAACAACAAACAAACAAAAAACAAAAAAGGAAACTTAAACACTAGGGGCAGGAGCAGGCTTCCTATATCAGTTAATGAGGATAATCCCCCAGGGACAAGACCAGATATCCATTGCTCAGGCAATTAAAGATTCTGTCAGTTGACAATTGGCATGAACCACTGAATGTACATTTTTAAAAGAGAGGCCCCCACATAGCCCACAATTGCCTTGAACTCACTAAGTAGCTGAGGATAACCCTAAACTCCCGACTTTGCTGCCTTCACCTCCCAAGGGCTGGGATGACAGTTGTGTGCCACCATGTCTGTGTCTCTACCGCATTTTCAGTTGAAGGAGTCACAAGGTGTACCTCAGCAGAAGGGCATGTCTGCTCTACCACTCTGTCAGACAGTATGGCAGCCACGCTGTGAGTGGAGCTCAGGATGGGAGGAGTGTTAGAAGATGTCTCAGTGGTGTGACCAGTACACATTGCATTGCTTGCTTTTCCTTAGCCTTGTTGTTTTCTTCAAGCCCCTAAAGAGATTAGCCTGCCTGCCTGCCTGCTTGCTTTCTTTCATTTTTATATAAATTTTTATTTTAAAAAATTTTCTTTTATGGGTATGCATGTTAGTCTGCATGTATGTCTGTATACCACATGATACCTGGTAACCACAAAAATCAGAAGAGGGTGTTAATTTCCCCCTAGAGTTGAAGTTATAGATGGTTGAGAGATGCTCTGTCAGTTCTGGGAACTGAACTCTGAACTTCTGGAAGAACTTAACGTTCTTAACTGAACCCTCTCTCCAGCCCATACTTTTCTTTTTCTTCCTCCTCCCTCTCCCTCTCCTTTTCCTCTCCTCCTCCATCTCCCTCTTTCCCTCCACTGTCTTTGTCTCTCCTTTTTTTTTCCTGTCCATCCTTTTCTCCTCCCCTCCCCACCCACTGAAATGTACCCTGTGCTGACAGACTTCTGAATAAGTGAATCTTTGAAACACAGCATTTGATTCTGAGATAACAGTGCTCAGACCGTGGAAGAGCTGTGGGCTCTGGCTCTTGGTGTGGAATGGAGAAAGTGTGTTGAAAGCATTGTGTATTTCAGCCTTCTCCCTAGCAGACCAAGAATCCTGTGAACAAGCTTCTGAAGTCAACCAAGCACAAAGTCCCGACAGTGATGACATCATAGTGACGCCTCAGTCTCAGACCTGTCCTAAAGCTGTAAGTAACTGGGCTCTCCTCTACCTAGTGGAGAACTGGCAAGAGACGGCTAAGTGCCTGCATATGTGAGGGTCAAGAAGCCTGTTGAGAGATGCAAGTTAGGTGAAAAGAGCATTAGTGTGGACGGAGGTCTGTTGCCATGGCGATAAAAGGGTTTCCTTAGTTTGATGCAAATGACAAATGAACTCAGTGCTTCTCTTCCCTATTTGTATCCCTAGACACTCATGTCTATCACTGTGGACTTGGTAATACTCAGCTCAGTAGAGGCCTTTTTTTTTTTTTCCGGGTGAGCACACTTACTGTAGGAGATGGAAATTGTAAGAAAGGAAGAAATTAGGGGCTGGAAAGATGGCTCAGAGGTTAAGAGCACTGGCTCTTCTTCCAGAGGTCCTGATTTTGGTTCCCAGCAACTACATGGTGGTTCATAACCATCCATAATGAGACCTGGTGCCCTCTTCTGGCCTTCAGGTGTGCATGCAGGCAGAACACTGTATAAATAATAAATAAATCTAAAAAAAAGAAAAGAAAAGAAAGGAAGGAATTCTTTGTGGGATGGCTTAGACAAATGTCTTAGTTTCTGCAGTTTTCTGACCTCCTTCTTTTTCTGACAGGTTTTCTGTTGTGGTTTAAATAAGAATGGCCCCCCATAGGTCTGCATGTCAGAAGAGGCCATCAGATCTTATTATAGGTGGTTGTGAACCACCATGTAGTTGCTGGGAAGTGAACTCGAGACCTCTGGGAGACTAGTCTTAGCCTCTGAGATATCTTTCCAGCCCAGTCCACAAATTTGAGCTAAGCATGTCCCAATCCATCCCTGAACTTGCCTTCTGGTCTATCAGCAGAGAGGGCCTACTGGAGGGGAAAAAAAATCCCACCAGGCCTTTATTTTAAGCTGCTGGGCTTTAAAAAGAAATACAAGCATTTAATGGGGACTTGCTTACAGTTTCGGAGCATCGGTTCATGAACACTAGGTGGGGAGCATGGCAGCAGGCTTGTATGCATGGTATTGGAGAAGTAGCTGAGAACTCACACCTGGTCCACATGTTTCAGGCCGGGAGAGACCAATACTGGGCTTGGCATAGGCTTTTGAAACCTCAAAGTCCACCTCCAGTGACACACCTCCTCCAATAAGGCCATACTTCCTAAACATTCCTAAACTGAGGACCAAGCATTCAAACCTATGAGCCTATGGGGCCATCCTCATTCAAACCACATTCCACTCTCTGGTCCCCACAAGTTTGTAGCCATATCTTAATGCAAAGGTGCATTTAGTACAACTTCAAAAGTCCCCATAGTCTATCATGTCTCAACACTGTTTCAAAGTCCAAGGTCTCTTATAAGACTCAAGGCAATTTCTAACTATGTCTCCCTGTAAAAGTAAAAAGCAAATTACATACTTCCAACATACAATGTCACAGTATACACATTGTCATTACAGAAGGGAGGGAAGGAGGCTCAGTAAGGAAATACTGGACCAAAACAAGCCAAACATAGCAAGGCAGACTCCAAATTCTGTATTTCTATGATTGATGTCAAAGGGCTGATTAGACATCTCCCCACATTTCTCAGGCTTTCTAGTTTTGTTGCTGGAAACACTGCTATGCTCTCTTGTGCTGACTTTACACCTTGTCTGCAGCTCTCCTTGGCTCAGGTGTCCCATGACTGTGGCATTTTGGGGTCTCCAGGAGAACCCAGGTTTCCCCTTGAAAGTGTCACATAATGGCCTCTCTGGGCCTTGATGCAGGGACTCCTCTGACACATGCCTGGCCTCAGCATCTCTCCTTAGCCATAGTGGAAGATTCCACAACCCCTTTTCTGTACCCTTCTGGACTCTAAATCCAGAACCACGTGAGTGAAGCTGCCAAGTTCTTGATGCTAGGTTTTTGACTCAGACCAAGAGGATGAAAAAGAACTTTACCATCTTGGAGCTTTGGCATTTTTACTAGCTAACTGTAGCTCATCTCCCTATCTGTCTGTCTATTAAGTAAGGATCTGCTAACTCCTAGTCCTTCAACACTTTTTTTCACAACCTTCCGCCATTTTTCCTGGCTGGATATAAGAGGGAAAGGAGGAGGACAGTTAAGAGCAAGGCCACAGGAAACAGGCAGTAAACATTCAATGAGAAATGAAGGGCTGGAGGGATACCTTAGTTGATAGACTTCTTACCCAGAATGTATCAGGTCCTGGTGGTGGTGCATGCCTGTGATCCTAGCACTTGAAAGATGGAGGTAGAAGGATCAAGGTCATCCTTACTACATAAGGAGTTCAAGGCCAACCTGGGAAATGATAACCTTTATGCTAAAGATAAGGAGGTCAAATAAGTGATTTGAGTACTAGGCTGGATAGATGTGTAAATATGTGAAAAATATAAAGTACACTTACTTATTTATTGTGTGCACACGAGTGTGCATGCCACTATGTGTGTGCATATCAGAATACAACCTGGGGTTGGGAGCTCTTTCTCCACCACATATGTCCTAGGGATTGAACTCAGATCACCTGGCAGCTAGCACCTTCCTTTATCTGCTGAGTCACCTCACTGTCCCATACCACCACCTTTTTTTTGTAGGAAGCAGAGGGGAGTTGTTAAGAACATCGGTTTATGAAATGCAATATAAGTATCAGACTGGATAAGGAGAATACTGGAACATTGGAGATATTGGGTATTGCACACACGAGTGCATACATACATACACACATACATATATATACATATACATACATACATACATACACATACATACATACATAATACATACATACACATACATACATATGTCAAAAACATCCATATACATAAAGAGAGTGTTCGGGGAAATAGTACAGTGGTAGAACACCAGCTGCATCCATGAGTTCCCTGGGTCTAGTTAGTAATACTGCAAGAACAGGCCTGGGGTTGTAGTTCAGTGGTAGAACGTTAGCCTAGCAAGTAAAAGGCCCTTCACTGAATTCCAAGTACTGCTAACAGTGTTGCCTGTATGTTGTGCCTAGTACTCTCCTATACGTTCAGAGTTTCAAGAAACAAGCCTTACTTTCCTGAGTGCCCTGCACTCCCATAGTCTGTTCTTTCATCCTAAGCCTCCCCTTCCAGTCCTTCCCATTATGCTCTGTTCTGTTGTCTTGTTGCTGTCATAAATGCACCATCTTTTAGAAGCATAGGTTAACACATCAGTGTTTTCACACTTTCAGAATGTATTGTTTTGTTTTGCTTTGTTTTTTTGAGACAGAGTTTCTCTGTGGATCAGCCCTCAAATTCACAAAGATCCACTTTCCTGAGTGCTGGGATTTAAAGGTGCACTACCATCACCTAGCAAGCACAGATTCTTTTATCTCAGTGTTGATTATTGACGTCAATTCTAAAATCACACATTGCCATTGCACATTGCTTTAAAGACTGTAGAGGGTGAAGAGGCTACAACAAAATTCAAGAGACTTCCGATGCAAATAGAGCTTCTGTGATCACAAGATGGCAAAGCCACTAGGGGTCTTTGGACATGCACTGCAGGTACTGTTGTAGAATCAGGCTGCACTGTTGAACTGCAAGGAGTGAGGAGGACAGGCAGATGGATGGGTGACAGGTTCAGATGGGTGAACCGGATGGGCTGACAGCAATTTTTTTTTTTGGTTTTTCGAGACAGGGTTTCTCTGTGTAGCCCAGGCTGTCCTGGAACTCACTCTGTAGACCAGGCTGGCCTCGAACTCAGAAATCCGCCTGCCTCTGCCTCCCAAGTGCTGGGACTAAAGGCGTGCGCCACCCTGCCTGGCTTTTTTTTTGGTTTTTCGGGGCTGACAACAATTAAAGTAGATTGCTTGCTTACAGCAGGGACTGAGCCAAGCTGAAGCCCTTGGGACTGTTGAGGGTTCTTCACCCGCCAGGACTGTCAGGTGACAGATGGGGCTTGTCTTTCCTTTATGGTACACAGATGAGAGTCATGTTTCCTCAGTCTGGAATCTCTGATACATCCTCCAGCTTGGTCTCATGATATGTTTTTAATATGTCCATGTGCTTCTAGAGACTCAGTTTGCCCTGATAAATTTACAGGGTGGTTTCCCTTCTATGAATAGGAATTGCTTATCAGTCTGTGATATGTGGGTAGTACTGGACAGATGGTACCAGTCACATGTCCATCCAGGTGCACAGTTGTTCTTCAACCTCAAAATGGAGTCTCTCAGGGCAAGGGCTTGCTTGCTTGAACAATCAGTTTTACATAGTATGGAGACACTTAGAGTGGGACACAGGCTGATCTCAATAATCAATAACTCTGTTCTTTTCTGTTGATCTTGCTCTACTGCATTCCATTACGTTGGTTTGTTTTTTTTTTTTTTTTAAGGTTTTATTTTATGTGAAGGTCCTTTGCCTACACATATGTCCACGCACCACATGTTTGCTTGGTGCCATTGGAGGCCTGAAGTGGGAGCCAGGTCCCCTGGAACTGGAGTTACAAGTAATTATGAGCCACCATGTGGGGGCTGGGCATCTAAACTAGGTCCTCTGGAAGAACAGCCAATGCTCTTGACCCCAGAACTGTCTCCTTCCATCTATCTTATCTTATTCTTTCATTTTAAAAAGTGCTAGTAAAAAAAAAACAGACAGACAAAACAAACAGAAGCCAATGGTTTCCTCATGTGGGCTGAGAAGAAAACTGCAAGCAGGTCATTTTGCAAAAGCAGCCCAGCCACTGGTGGTAGCATTGCTCATCTTTAATCCCAGCACTCGGGAGGCAGAGGCAGGCACATCTCTGAGTCTGAGGCCAGCCTCACCTACAGAGCAAGTTCCAGGACAGCCAGGACTACAGAGAAACCCTGTCTCAAAAAACCAAACCAAATCAACCAACCAACCAAAAAATTCCAAACTCCAAAATACAGAAGAACAAAAACAAGAAACAAACACCCAAAAAAAGAACCTAACCCCTCCCCCCCAACAACCAACCACCACTCCACCCACCCCTCACCCCCAATCTTACTACATAGTCCAAGCTAGTCTTGAACTCGGGCTCTTCCCCAGTGAACCACTGCTCCCAGCTTCTTCATTGTTTGTGGAAATAGCCAGGAAAGGCTGGCCTGGGAATTGACTCAGTAGAAGACAGCCTGGATTCTCCAATTTTCCAGTGACTCTGTGGCTATTCAGTCAAGTTGTCTGTTGGTAACCAGTTTGCCTTCAAATTGTTGGTAAACAATTTGCTAGAGTGTGCCGTGATGAGCATACTGTGTTAACACTGCAGCCTCATTAGTCTTTAGGAAATCAGTATTTCCATTTCAGGATTCAGAGAAGATATGCATTGAAATAGTCTCCCTGGCCTTCTGCCCTGAGGCTGCTGTCATGTCGGACGAGAGTATCCAGCAGGTCTATGTGGAGTACAAATTCTGTGATCTGCCTCTGTCGGAGACAGAGACTCCAATGTCCCTGAGGAAACCAAGGGCAGGCGAAGAAATCCACTTCCACTTTAGCAAGGGTGAGCTCTCCTGCATGGTGCGTGGGCAGGGGAGGCAAGCGGACATTTAGTTGGGATTAGATCTACTCACCACCAATGGAGGTGAAGCCAACCACTTCCTCTAGTGACCATATTTAAAATTTCCCTAACTGGTATATGCATATAGTTTAAAAATATCAGGGAAGGCTAAAACATAGAATTTAACTAAGCAGTTATTTCTTTTAGTTTTTCTTCAAATCACTCTTTCTGACCCTACCCCATGACGGAATTGTTAAGGGCTTTTTAACTTTTTTCAGCTATTTTAAAAAATTACTCATATATCCAAATAATGTTTCCACTGTAATTCTATGATTCACTAATTGTAGCTGTTCCTATCTTGGATAAAAATTTTAAGCCACGTTCACTCCCACACAATTGAACCATAACTTTATTTCATATTTCTGTTAGTCTAAAATATATAAATATTAACTCTTGTAGTGCTAAGTACCTTCACTTCCTTCATTTCTCTTCCCCTGACGTCTTCAGCCTGCCTCTGCCTCTAGAATGCTAGGATTAAAGGCATATGCCACCGCACCTAGCTTGGTTTCTTTTTTCTTTTAAAAAAGATTTTATTTACTTACGTTATGTATATAATAACTACACTGTTTTTGTCTTCAGACATACCAGAAGAGGGCATTGGATCCCATTACAGATGGTTGTGAGTCACCACGTGGTTGCTGGGAATTGAATTCAGGACCTCTGGAAGAGCAGTCAGTGCTCTTAACCGAAGAGCCATCTCTCCAGCTTCCCCTCCCCTTCTTAGTTTCTTATTTTAATAGATGTTTTCAGTAACTTTAGCTTTCTCAGGAAGAGATATTGGAAGTAAATAAGTATTTTTGGAGCCAAGCATGAAGTATTTTTCTATCCTATTTTGATAAGAGGCAGGCAGTCACAGATACAGATGCTTTTAGCTATTTTCTTTTGAAAATTTATTTCACATACATAAGTATTTTTCCAACACGTATGTCTGTACAGCACATGCAGAGGCTGCAGAAGTCAGAGGTGTCAACCGCCATGGAAATGAAGTTAGTTGTCATGCGAGTGCTGGAAATTGAACCTGTAGCCCTGGCTGTCCTAGAATTCACTACATAGACCAGTCTAGCCTCCAGCTCGGTTATGTCTAGCTCTGCTTAACACTTGCTGGGATTAAAGGCTTACACCACTACAACCAGCTCTATTTTAGCTATTTTCAGTAAAACCTTGTAAAACCGGGTAACCAGCTTGTAGACCTTTGAGGATGTCTATTTTGCATCACTGTTGGATAGTCATGGGAGTCCTGAATGCAAATAGCAACAGTAGCCTTTTGTTGGTTTCCTGAAAATTCTGAGGACTGAACCTTGTGTACACAAGGCAAACACTAACACTGAGCATCCGTTTTATGTGCTTTTCTTTTACCTTCCTTTCATACAGTGATAGACCTGGACCCAGTGGAGCAACAAAGTCGAAGGCAGTTTTTGTTTGCCATGCTACATGCTCAAGATTCTGATGAGGGACGGTAAGCCTCTGCTTTTCATATTGACAATGCAGATAATCAAGCTTGATTTACAAAGCTTGATTTGAGTTTAGTTGTGCTTATGCTATTTTAATAATTTTTCTTTTGAGGAATCTCTCATCTACTTGAGTCAACTTCATATGTCTGACTGCCTAACCAGTTATTTTAGGTTTAGTGCCTGTTTCGCCTGTGGCCGAGACTTGTGTGGGTGACATCAGCAACTTGACTCCTACATGGGGTAGACAGAACATTTGGACATTCTAAGGTTACTCAGCTAATTTCTCACATATATGGAAGTATTGCTGGCACACCAATACTATGCCATTGTAATACCCATCTCATTTTTTTAAATGCTCATTTTTAAAAATACTTAAAAAACATCAATTTATAAAACTTGTATTTATGTGTATCGGTGTTTGTTTGCATCTGTTTACTTCTTTTGGTTTTTTAAAAAACATTGCTTTCCTTTTTTTTCTAGAGGCAATCTGTGTCATGTTAGATTTCAGTTGACTTACCAGATGGTGTACCAGTGTGGTGTAGTAGACAGCACTCTGTCAGAGCTAGTTTGGAATCCCAATTCCTACTTTCAAACTTTGAGGGTTTTGCAATGTTACTTGAATGCTCTTGTATGAGTGACACACAACACTTCATCTTGTCTCTAACCCACAATAATGCCAGTAACCTGGCTTTCTGTAGATTTAGGGACTGACTGGAATCAGCACCTTTCTCAGTGCCGAGGCTACCAAGAGTGAGTGCTGATCTGCACTGGGTAGGGGATGTTCTCTCAGACCCTTCCAGTGGAATCCTGGAGCTGAGCTTTCAGAGCTTGAGTTTTTAGCTCTATTCCTGTTGTCTCATCACAATGAACACCACTTGGTCTTCAAAGATTTATGGAGAGGTGGCACCTACTTGCACGTGGGCGGTGGACACAGGAGGCCAGTCATAGATGACGTAATGAGTTACAAGCCAGACTGAGTTACATGAGATTGTCTCAGAAAGTATCAAAGAGTAATGGCTGAAAGTGCTTGCTTCCAAGTCTGATGACTTGAATTCAATCCCCAGGACACACAAAACAGAAGTAGACAACCAACTCCAACTTCTATGGGTACTCAACCCTTTCCCAAACTGATTCCTGACTTTTGCTCTTATTCCCTTAGAAAGTTGAGGGGGAGGGATTTGGATGCAGGAAAAACAATATTTGTGATTACTTTTCAAAAGAATTTTTATTTTTACTTTATGTATAAATGTGTTGGGCTTCCATGTACATCTGTATACACAGACTAGAGTTATAGATGGGACTAGAGTTATAGATGGTTGTGTACCATCAGCTGGGTGTTGGGAGTCAAACTAGGACCTCTGGAAGAGCAGTCAGTGCTCTTAATCCATCAGCCATCTCTCCAAATTCCACAATTACCTGTGAGAGTTTTCACTGTGTATCTCTGGAACTCTCTATGTAGAGCAGGCTGGCCTCAAACGTAAGACATCTAGCTGTTTCTACCTGTTTCTGAGTGCTGGGATTAAAGGTGTGCATGACTTTAGTAAGGAGCTAATAAGCAAGCACTGAGTTAAAGGATTTATGTTTATCTGTTTTCAGTTTAAAGTTTACAGTGGTGAGTGATCCCCTGGATGAAGAAAAAAAAGAATGTCAAGATATAGGCTATGCATACCTTGAACTGTGGCAGATATTTCAATCTGGAAAAGACATCCTAGAGCAAGAACTAGAGAGTGAGTAATAAAATTTTATATTTAGTTCTACTTATTCATAGAGAAAATAGCCCACTTGTGTAACTTGTTGACGATTATCTGTGAAGCTGATGGGACAAATACCTCTGAAGTCTTCCCGACAGCTTTATGTATTTCACTCTGGACTATATCTAGGGTTGTCTAGATTTGATGTAATGTATACACACATATAAATGTCAGGGGACAACCCATTGGAGTTAGTTTCTTTTTGCCTTTCACCATGTAGATTCTGTGGACTGATAGCCCCAGCTTGTCAGCAAGTATCTTCATCCACTGAGCCATCTGGCTAGCCCTAAAAGTCCTTTTTAATCCTCTATTCTGGTCACATGCTCCTTTTATCTCCAAAGCACCTTACCCTTTTCTTCATGTGTGTATACCACATTGTAACAGTTTCACTGTCTTATGAAAGTAGCTCCAAGATGACAAGCACTAGATAGAAGAGTATAAACAGCTGGGCGGTGTCAGCATATGCCTTTAGTCCCAGGACTTGGGAGGCAGAAGCAAGATCTCTGTGAATTTGAGGAGGCCAGCCTGGTCTATACAGTGAGTTATGGGCCAGCCAGGGCCAGAATGAGACCCTGACACACACACACACACACACACACACACACACAAACAAACAAACATACTCGTGTAAATGGAACACTTGCTGATGCCTAACTGTCTTACCCTTGTCCACAGTTGTGAGCCCTGGAAACCAGGCCATCCAAATTGGAAGACTGAAGGTTTCCCTCCAAGCAGCTGCTGCCCTCCATGGCATTTATAAGGAGATGACTGAAGATCTGTTTTCATGAAAGAACAAGTTCTACTCCACTCTTCAATTGAGGGAAATACAGTCGAAATGTCTTATAAAATAACATGCTATGCCATAAATCTAGTCTCCTGTGCTATCTTGCTATCTGTTTCTCAAACTAATGACGAGGCTTACAACCATCAGTGAACTTTTATGGTACTAGTTGGAGACAAAGGCATTTTCTTCTAACACCTTAACACTTTAGTAGGCAAGATTTGACTTCAGAAACTGCAAAGAAATGGTCATAAAAGACAAGTTTACAAAAAAAACAAAACAAAACAAAAAAAAATCCCAGTTTATTTATCTTTTAGTTCTTCCAAAATTCAAAATATCAAGTCCTACTGCTAAGGAGAGAAAACAAACAAACATAAAATCTGAGAAGCCCCTTCTCATAAAGTCACAGAACAGAGGCGGCGAAGTGGGACAGGTGGATGCAGAGAACCTGCAGGGGAGGATGGCAAGATAGAGCCCCCCAGTATTTCAAAGCTGGTCATCAGAAGCAACCGACAGGACACTGCAGAGACAGTAAAGGGAGGGGCAGCAGAGACCAGCCTTGTGCGTGTGGCTTTCTTCCCTCTTCTCTTCTTGTCAAGATATTCTAGGCCAAGACATGATTTACTCTTTGAGATCCGTGTTGACTCCTTTAAGCCTCCCTCTAGATTTCATCTGCAGTATACGAAGCATGGCCATTCTTCTTTAGATGTATCAGAAGAGACAGTGGTAATTTGTGTTCGAGCACTGTACTACATATGGACTTGTAAGGAGGAAAAACGCCACGGAGTGTCAGTGTTTGTCTTCCAATGCAGCAAAAACACCCCAGAATGTGTACGAGGGAAGAAACCAAAAACTTAAGACCAGACACCAGCCCACTCTGCCTTTAGCTCAGCTGTGTCTATCACAATTATCAGCAAAGCCCAAGAATCTTCTGCGAACTTCAGATCTGGAACTGATAAAGGGATGGATGGAGGACTGACTCTGGGCCAGAACCATGCTTCGGTTAAGTATGGTAACTCAAGCCTGTAGCCCCAGTACTTAGGAGGCAGAGCAAGAGGATCACACATTTGAGGCTAGCCTGGTTTACAGCAACTTCAAGGTCAGCCATGGCTGCATAGCAAGACTGTCTCAAAAAGCCAGGAAAAATAAAAAATGTAAAGAAAAAAGAATCATAGTGGAAATAGTTAGTGGTCAGCTTATACCACTGTCTTGGTAATTCAGCTTTGAGACACCAAAGGTAAGTTGTCAGAAGAAAAGAGCAAATGGTATCAACAGTGGGAGGAGCCTCCTGCCCTTCAACACTGCCTCCCTTGCCAGCCATCTGATCGGGGCCACTGGCACATGTCCTGGTGGGCCTGGAATTTCCCCGAGTAGCTTGGTCCGCACAAATGGCCCCTAAACCCATAAACACAAACGGCAAAACTTCAATGAAACCAAAAGGAAAAACAGTTTCTATGTCATGTCATTTTAGGAGTTGTCTGCAGAAAGAATGGAGCATAAAACCCCAAGGTTCATATTACTTTCTCTTTTTCTTCGGGGGTGCAGAGCTGTGTCTGGAACCACGGTTAGAGCCACGGCCTGAACTATGTACAGATGCCTTCCTCTTCCGGCTCATACTTCGGCTCTGTTCTTCTTCCTCCTCATAACGGCTTTCACGGTCCGCTAAGCAGAAGGCAGAGTGATTCATTAGCTTAAGATACCTGCTGTTCATGGATAGTATGAGCCAATGTGTCAGTTAATCTTCACTTTGTCAGTTACTAGTTACCTGACCTAAACAAGCTTATTTACAAGGAGAATAAAAAGGCTACCTGGCCATACTGGTACATATCAAAAGCTTAAAGAGACAGACTCAAGCCTACCTGTAGCCTAGGTAGCCTAGGTAGGGCACATTCTAGATCTTTCTTCTTTGCTTAAGTTGTACCTGTGACTTAGGTTTTTTACATATATTTATGTTGTGTGTGTGTGTGCATGTGTGTGTGTGTGTGTGTGTTGGGGGAGCACATAGAGCAGAGGCTGAAATTAGCTCAACTGCTCTACATCTTATGAGACAGGGTTTAGACTGAACTCAGACCCTCTAATATGGTTAGACTGCATGCAAGGATCCCCAATGATCCTCCTATCTTTGCCTCTCCAGCACTGGACTTATAGGCATGCAATGAATGCTGTGCCCGGTTTTTATGTTTTTATGTGAGGTCTCTACAGATACAAATACAGACTTTAAGCTCTAATGGTAATCACTTAACAACTGAGCAATCTCCCCAACCTCGTCCCCAAACAGGTTCATTGGCTTAAACATTAAAACAAAGAATTGTGTTAGAAATTCACACATAAATAAATGAAAAAAATAAGTCACTTAAAACAACAAAATTTTCAAATAACCTTTTCGTGCTTCTTCTTCTAGCTCATCCCAGTCCTTCCCGCTTTCTTCTTCACTCCCCAGAGACTCCTTAGAATAGTCTGGAAAAATATTGATCACACATTAGTCATGCAGAAATAAAAACAGAATGTAGAACATTTTCCTTTTTAAAAAGGAGTCTCCAGGAATGATAATCCATTAGGAAGCCACAATATGTGTTTTTTCCTTTAAAATTAATTTCCTACGTGTACAGGTGCACTAGCCTGTACATGTGGAGGCCTGAGGCTGTTTGATGCCCCTCTTCTTATCTTGTTCCCTTCAAATGAGGCCTCTCAAGTGAGCCTGAAGCTGTGGGGTTTTTTTTACTGGCTAGGTTGGTGGCCTGTAAATACCCATGGTCCTCCTGTCTCTATCCCTGACTTTGCCATACCCTAATGCTGTTACAAGCAAGCTTGGCTGGCTTTTTACATACATGCAGAGAATTCAAACTCAGCATCAGTAACATCAAGTGCTATTACGCACTGAGCCATTCCACCAGTCCAACACATACTCTCTAACCTGATTCTTCAGCTTCTGATGAATAATCTTCATCACTGTCCTCTTCTTCCTCTTCATAGTCATCCTCAGAAGGATTGAAAGTCTCATCTTCAATTTCAGACTCAGAGTCCCCGTCCTCAGCATCACTCCCCTGGTGAAGCACAGAAAGCGTAAGACTTGTTCACTACTTTTCTCATAGTAACATTATTAACAAATTAATTCAATGTACTTGGCACATTAGCATTTCATATATAAAACCCAGAAAGTTGAATGACGAAGTGATAAAGGATTTGTCTTAAAATTACACTTTAAGGTACAATTATTAGATTCTAGAACAGCCAATTCTCTTTTTGTCTGCAGAAATTAATGAAATAAACACACTTTGTATTAATGCATTATGCCAAAGTAGGAGCTCTATTTTTTAAAAAGTTTAAAAAAAAATTTTTTTTTGAGACAGGGTCTCACTATGTAGTCCTGGCTTCAGACTGGCTACATAGACCAGGCTGTTCTTGAACTTACAGAGATCTCCTTGGTTCTGTCTCCTGAAGGATGTAATTAAAGGTGTACGTTACCAAACCTGGTGACTTTTTATTTACTTGTTTTTTTTAAAAGGTTCACTTAAAAAAATATTTTATGTGCATGATGTTTTGTCTGCATGTATGTCTGTGTGAGAGTGCTGGTTCCTGGAATCACAGACAGTTGTGAGCTGCCATGTGGGTGCTGGGAATCGATTCTAGGTCCTCTGGAAGAGTAGTCAGTGTTCTTAACTGCTGAGCCATCTTTTCAGCCACTAAAGGTTCATTTCTTTTCATTTTATGTGATTGGGTGTTTTGTCTGCATGTATGGCTGGCTGTGCACCAGGTGTGGCAGTGCTGGGGGAAAATAGAAGAGGGCTTCAAATCCTCTGGAACTGTAGTTCAATAGTTGTGAGCTGCCATGTAGGTGCTAGGAATTGAACTCAAGTCCTCTGGAGGATTAGGCAGTACTGAGTCATCTCTTCAGCCTCAGGAGGACTATTCAGTATGACTCAATCCATCACCTCCCAACAGTAAGAAACTCTGTGAGGAATATGTGCAGTGACTACCAATTCCCAATGAATTCATCTTTTACCTGCAAAACGAACCTAGAGAAACAAGAATACTAAGTTTTTTTTTGTTTTCTTTTTAGCTTCTCTCTACTTGTCAGGTTCTTTATGTGCTACATATAGATGTCATTCTCTTAAGTGCCTAAATGACATTAGGCAACACTACATACCTAAATAAAAAAGAAACCCCACATTCACGCACGCACCTCACCCTCAGGTTCCAGGAAAGACCAGCCACCTTGTTCAAAGAAACCCTCGGGGTCATCAACAATGGTCTTCATGATTTTAGTCCAGTTGAGGGACTGAACTCCTTCTGTGTACTTTAGGTCACAGGAACTAAAATGACATAACAAAATCCAAATCAAACTTCTGTGTTTTCTGACAATGTAAACTGTCATGACCATTAGCTTGCACTGGGCATGCCTCAAATGGCTGTTATTTGAATTCCCAGAGCATTGATTCTTATGTTAGAAAAGCATCACAACCCACATAAGCTTTGTCCCTCAAACAATTTTCATCCTTTCTCCCTCTTCTGCACCAATGCACCTGTTCTTTTGTCTCTGTATGACTCACCCAGGCTCCCTCATCCCTCACTGATACCATCTTAACTTATAACCAGTTCTGAGATACTCTTTATTCATTTGTCTGTAATGAAGAAACAAGGGCAGATTCCACTGGCCTTGCCCAACATTTCCCACCATTTTTCTACCCCGCTTATTTGATAAAGACTCTACCTGAAGAAGGCATGTCTTTCTAAGTATGTAAAATGTCTTTACTTTATAAGGCTCTTAAATGACTTAACTAACTTGTGTTGTGGGTTAAGTTAGAGTGGATGACTGAGAAGAGAAAGGAAGGAAGGGACTAGAGAAATGGCTTAGCAGCTATGAGCTCTTGCAGGGGACCTAGGCTCAGTTCCCATTACCCACATGGTGGCTCACAAACACCTGCAGCTCTGGTTCCAATGGGATCTCATTCTCTTTTAAACTCCACGGACACCAGACACACATGTGATGCATTTATATTCACCCAA